AAATAAAGTGATGAGAAATGTAATCAAAAGAGCTCAGGCTTGCGCGGCTTCTAGAGGTGGAAATTTGTCTGATAATATTTTTCATACATAATTTCTAAGTTTCAATGAATGATTAAGATGAAAAAATGGACTCATTTTATTTCATTTCACAAATATTCAAGATACAAACCAGTCAGTTACATATCGACCACCCTGTAGTACTGCCGAACTTTTTCAGATAGGTACATGCTTCTTGTCGACGAGAACCACCCAGAAATTATCACTGAAGATATGGAAACTAGTTTAATTGTGTGGCCCCATATGGAATGATTTGTGGATTAAGTTCTAAGATCAAGAAGGCCCTAAGTCGATCTTTATAAATTTTGTACACCGAAGCAGCCGCACAGGCAGAACCCTGAATGCCAGAACACCCCGGCTACTATGAGGAGCTGAAGTAAACTTTGTTAATTCGATTTCTGGACTGCCTAGGGTTAGTAGAACTGTACCACAACCTAGATACTCTAGGGACAAATCGCAACGACATGAATCTCACCATGAAACTGGATGAGTTTACTCCACAATTGCGTGACGTAAGCTAGAAGTTCCAGGAGGTTCCCTGTGAGCCGATGGTGCCGGAAACCATACTACCTGTTGCTAATCAATCCGTGACGTTCGAGGTAGACGCTCCCAATTTTTGCACATCTCCATCAACTGACTTATAACAGAAAGCAGAGCTATATGTCTGTCGTTGTAAGTGTCGGTCTTAGATCTTTTTTGTGACGGGTTGGACATGAGCAAATTTTCAGTTTTCTGGGAAGGTGCCCGATTCGTAAGATACCTGGAAGATACGCGGCAGAACTGCACATCCAATACAACCGCAGAAATCAAGTGCGGACCAGAAGCTTTGCTGATATTGAGCGACAAGGGCACCTTACGGTCTAAATGAACGTATACTTGTGGGAAAAACTTATCTTCAATCATACAATGGGGTTGCTAAACGTCGCTAACAACAATAATCCTGGTGTATTCTAACAAGTCAGGTAGGTAGGGTTGTTGATTAAAAATTTTACGATCAGGTATTATATATATTACTTTACGATAATTTTAATCGCCCCATATCTTCGAAATGAAGCTGTTTTTCCGAAATCGTCAACAAACAAAATAGTCTCCGAATTTTTCAAATCACTTCTTAATTTTTGCCCCCCGCGGTAATATCGTGTATGAAACAAGAATTCTATTAAAAGATTACCATAAAAGTCTAATAGCGAAATAATTTTAAGGACATCAAAATAATACCACTAATGTTCATTCTGAATATACAAACTCGATTAATCTTAACAATCAACTACGTGTTTGGTTATTCGAATTTTCGTAATCCCCTCGTATACATTTTCGGAGGTCCTCTCCTGTAACAGAACTAAATAAAATCGATAAAGCGTGGATTTACATATGTCTGGTTTATGGGCTGCTGATAAAATAAAAACTTCTATCTAGATATTTGTTGGTCTTAAATACGTCGAATTTCGGTGTCAACATGGGAACTAACAAAACGAAACACTTTCTGTGATATGTTTTGTGCCTTTTCAGTCAGCGTACATCCAACATAGTGGATAATAATGTTCCAAATGCACGCCCAGTGCTTTTGTAATGTTTATGTCTTTCCATTGGCGGAGGGGCATTTCTTAAGTAGGGCTTACTCATAATACAAAGTTTCGTTACAGTATTTTTACAAACACGAGTTACTAATACTAGTCTTCTTATGACCCGTAATTATTTGTATTTCTTGTATTTGATTAGATTTCTGTTAGGTTTCTGTTACAATATTGTCGACGTTTCGGAAAAATTAAAATTCTTTGGATGGGCTCTACAAAAAAGTTAAAAACATGGACATAAATAATAACTAACAATTTAAATAATAAGAAATGAACGCAAAACATACCTTTTCTAGTTAAAGACATTATACAAAACTCATTTTTACAAATACGTTTTTTGATTTTTCGAAAGCGTAGTAATTCTGAACGTATACACACAAAAAAAGGGCATCAAGTAGGTTGAATCAGCACTTCCTTCGCAACTCGGCCATCAGTTTATAAAGGATAAAGTTTAGCATAAGTTGAAGAAAACAGTTTCGAACATGTAGATGTAATAGGGAAATTGATCAAGTCAGTCAACCAGGCTCATACAATTAGTCCATAGATAGTCTTTCCCTGCACTTTATGTAGTTACGGTCCATCTGGCAACGCTGCACCTTGCCACATCTTAAAAGGCGGCAACCCCAACCAAGTCCAGATAGCAAAAGGAGACGCGTATCGGAAACAACTCTCTACCATTCTAAGTTTTAAATACTAATATAGCGAAGTGTATAAATTGTGCTGCCCCATATGTCAGCCTAGCCATTTATTATTAAAGTCTGAGAGCATGATTAGAAACATTTAAGTGGGATTTTTATATGGTATCTATACTTCCTACGCACCAATATCATAATACTCAATAGTTATTTTCAAATTTGACACATATACAAATTTCGAAAATTCCTAGGCATCTTTCTTATATATAGTTCGATGTGGTATTGCCTAAGGCTTAGAGAACATTAAGAACTCTACGGACAGACAACAAGTACACTGCTGGGATAAGTTTAATGAGTCTTGAAATGTGGAAAGACTGTTATCGTTCGCTGTTAACTGAAACACTCCCTGCTTTTATAGACAACGAAATAACAAATAAGTCTTTTTTGAAATACTGGCAAAAGGGAGATAAGGATCTCTCAGTAGAATGAAAAATAGGTAGGCCTCTGGCCCAAGAGGTGTACCCATAGAATTGGTAAAACCAGGCCCCTTCGTACTAAATGACAGTCCTTTTCACTAAGTGCTTGGAAAGAGAGAATGTACCTGAAGAGTGCAGAATATCCTACATAATATCTATATTGAAATAGGGTAATGGGAGAGAATGCAAGAATTATAGAGGACCCAGTGTTATCTGTTCCTTTACGAGGCTTTATGGGAAGGTCATAAAGGAAGAGTAGAGGAAGAATTCGAGAAATCCGAGGAACAAAATGAGTTTAGAGCAGGTAGGTCGTGCATTGATGGAAAGTTTTTCCTAAAACAATTGCTCCAAACGAAAAAAATAGCATATTTGTAAATCTGCAGAGGGGTCACTACGCGGCCCCATTAACCAAGTTGTGGGTCACATAAGAACAGTCAGGTGTTAGGAGACGCTATGTTACTGTCATTTTGTATTTTGGCTGTTCTGGCATTGTACAAGGAAAGCAACAGTTATTCCAAGATTCTCCCGTAACCAAAGGACTCACACAAGGATGCTTTCTTGCCGCGACACTTTTCAAAATGTATTTCGAGGAAGCGAAAATGCCACAGATGACCACGTACTGCTCGCAGGTATTGAGGATGATGCACCGTACAGGCTGAAAAAGTTAAACGATGAATTTGGTAAGTGGGAAATGGAGATAAATATGCAGAAAATAGAATACTTAGTTGTAGCCAAGACAGGAAGTGATCTGAACACGATGAAAAAGTGCAAGAAATTTAAATACAATTTCGGATAACGGAAAAAGTAACTAAGAGATAAGAATAAAATATTACAGAGGAAGCGGGTTATTAAACAATTGAGTCCCGACTTATGGAACGGTAATGCCACGAGGAGACCAAAAAGGATTATTTATAAGACTATCCTGGTAAATATTTGTACATACGGGGCCGAAATATTGGTAAGCCAGCGCAATGGGGGTAGACTGCATGCGCTAGAGATGGACTTCTGGAGTTATCGGGTCTCAAGGTTAGAGCATAAGCGAAATGAGGATGTTAGGAAAATGGCAGAAGTAGAATGGAGTATCATTACCTTAAGGACCAAACAACTGATGTGGGAAGATCATATATACAGCGTATGCCAGACTACAGATGTGGAAGGCGTGAGTAAAGAGAAAGATGATTCAAGACATGAGGATAGTGAAAGAAGCTAGAGACTTCCAGGAAGGCGATTACGTGGATAGATCCCAGTAGCGAGAAGCCAGAGGCAGCGTCAGCCGTAAAACAACTACTAGTGGCATACTTGCTCGTATATACAAAATAAATTCCTTGGCTCACCTTACTAACAAATGGAGAAAGTCTCAGAGCGGCATCGAGGTATCAGTTAGTGAAAATGTCATGCACAAAATAATGGGCTATTCTCTATGTTCTTAATGTTTTCCTCTACAATGCTCAAGGTTAAAAATTTGGCGCCAAACCTATAACGTAATAAGCTACTGCGATATTTATTGACCGTATAGCCAGGACGTAAGTAATTATTGATTACGTTGAAAACCACTGACACTGACGGAATCATCGTTTAGTGGTTTGATTTAATGCACTCTACATAAAGACAGCCAACCCGCGTCCAAAAATTATCCGAGATAAAATCAAATATCGTAGCGTCATCAGTGAGAATCGAGCTTAGCTGTTTCTTTATTTACTGTATTTAGTTTGAAATTTAGTTTGAAAAAGTTAGTGTTCCACTGTCCCACAAGCATAAGATAGCTACTGCGTCATCTACGAGCAGGGACTACAGTACATATTGTGTAATAAATTCTAGTATATCTTAAACCTAAAGTACAAATCCACTCCTATCATAGATGATAGGCATCCATCAAGTGTGAGGAGAAAAACCTTATCTGATATTGACGGTTTGACGTAAAGTTATAACATACTAACGGTATTCAAAACAATAGTAGAGGAGAGGAACCAAATTTGAGATACTTTTTTTGTGAAGGGAAAATAAAATACTTTTTGTTTTAAACAAGGTTATATATTTAAATAAACTTGCGATTTTATGCTCCTAGCATACTCTAAACTAAAAAAAATAACTATAAATGTTTTCTTTTACAGGCGAAAAGTGTATTTAAATAAAAGTAAACATTTTTGTAGATTTACAGCTGGTTCCCTAATTTGAGATAGATAGTTATCCAAATTTGAGATAGGTACCCTTATTTAAGATACTATTCGAAAAACCCCTTCCCTTCACAGAAAGTGCAAATGAAAATTTTATTGGCAATCTCTCCACAATCTTCATGTGCCCATCTACTACAATGGCTGCATTTGGCCCATTTTTCGCCCTTCTTATCTTCAGAAAATCGACCCGTACAAAATAAGCATTCAGCATCGCTTCCACCGCTTTCGTCTGAGGATAAATCATCCAACTTAAGGCTTCCGCTAGATTCTGAACTTGAACTGGAGTGGGAAGGTATCCGAATCCTTTTGGACCTTTTAGCACTAGATGTAGAAGGCTGGTTCTGGTTGATTGACCTATTAGCTCCAGATGTGGAGGGTTGATTTTGTGTGGATATGCTATTTTGGTTTAAATTAGCATCCAATTTTTTTTTGGGAATTGCTTTCATCTGTCTTTTCTCTAAGCTTGCCTGCAACTCTTTCTTATATGGCGTGTGAGTAATGACTACTGCCTTTCCTGATCTTCTGCTCACTGTATTTTGTTTTTTATATGAGGGCAAAGGACAAATATCGGTTGGAGAGACTAATTTAAATTGTATTTGTTGTTCTAAATTCGGGCTAGGTGTTCGTTGTTGCACTCTAAATTCTACAGTGTCTACGAAATTAGTGATGCTTGCAATTTCGTTTGCGATAGAAGTACTTGCATCTTGATTCACTAGATTATCACCTGTGAAATCAGCAGAAGTAGCCGCATTCTCATGTATTTGCTGTGCTGTATCATCACCTTGATGGTCTACTTCACAGGGATCTACGGTGTCAATCGGATCTTCCACCCGATGAACGCTAAAATCGGAATCTCTAAAAATATTTCTGTTGATAGGCACCAGTCCTGTTTTCCGAAATCCATTACAAGAGGTTTCCATTGTAGCAGCTCGATTGTAAGCTTTGCAAAAAATGCTAGAAATTGCATATGGGGAAACAGCTGATTCTCTCGAAGCCAATTCTCTATTTCCTGTGCATAGAAAGTCTTTAATGGTGACATAAACGAGACATCTAATGGTTGCATCTTGTTTGTTGAGTGTGGTGGAAGACATATTATTGCCACATGATTTTGTTTTGCTAAATCTATCAGGTCAATGTTCCTTGTGTGAGAATAATGACCATCTAATACTAAAAGAACTGGATCAGAAGCAGTAGGCTTTGTAAATTTTATAAAGTGATCTAACCATCGGGTAAAAATATCTGCCTGTACCCAACCTGATATATGGCATTCCGCAATTGCTTCATTTGGGGCTCCTAACATTAGCTCTGTTTTCATATTTTTTCTGGGGAAGATTAACAGTGGTGGTACATACACGCCTGAAGCGTTCATACAAGTAATTACTGTGACCAATTTACCCCTCTCTGCTGAAGTAAGTGATGCAATCTGCTTCTTTCCTCTAAGAGAGAGAACCTTAGTGTGCTTATGTTGAACCACAGTAATACCCGTTTCGTCTACATTGAATATCCTGTGAAAAGGATTTAGAATTTTGTTATATTCGGCCTCATATAGGTCAAAAAAGCTTGAGACTTTCTCAGGGGTGAAAGACTTTATACGAGCAGCTGACATGCCTTGTGGCGTTCTCATGGATAGCTGAGGATGTCTTTTTAGAAATAGTCGTAGCCATTTCTTTCCTGCTGATTTTTTAAGTCCATTAAAAGGATGAGATATGCTATTTCGTAACGCAAGCTGGAATGCCAAACGCTTTATATCACGCGCACGTAAGCCAAAAAATCGCTCTTCCATAGCTAATGCATATTGTACTAACTGATTTTCAAGTTCAGGGGAAAGAATAGTCTTGCGACCAATTGGTGTGTCTACAAGTTCTCTTGGATCCTTACCGGATCTAACATATCTTTCTACGGTCCCTTTAGGTACTCCAAAAACTTTTGCGGCTTTCAAATAACCCATCTCCTTATTCTTTACAGCTTCGATGGCCTTTATCATGTCATTTGGGTTCCACTTTTTGTGTTTCGGTGGCATCTGCAATATAAAAAAATAAAAGATAATCTCTTGATACAGGGCCCTTATTTGAGATAGTCTCAAATTAGGAACACTTGGGTATCTCAAATTAGGAATTTTCCGTTAAGAAGTTCAAACAAGCATATTTAGGTTATGTAATAAAATAAAATCACAATATTGAAAAAGAAAATAAATAAGGTATTTGTAAGCTACTAAATTTATATCAGACAAGTGTTCTAAGTATCTTACCTCACTTTTAGTAATCACTTTTCTCGCACTATTAAAAATATTTTCGACTCTGAACAAGCAACAAGTTGTGATGTCTCAGCAAACCATGTGCAAAACTAGACTGTAAACACATCTAGAATACTACTGCGTCTTAGTTCAACACTTTTTGGTATTACTAGAAGATGGCGCTACATAGATTCAAAGTTACACCACTGTCTCAAATTAGGCGCCTGTCTCAAATTTGGTTCCTCTCCTCTAATTCCATGGGATTCCAGAATTGGTGTGGTTACAAGTAAACTGATAGTTCCTGTTTTTGAGCTTTCCTTGTATGAGTCAAAACTTTTCGATAATTCTCAGCTGGAGCCAGATAGTTTTTTTGAAGGGTCAAACTTTCGAATAGTTTCCAAAAATGGATTTCCGTTGTGACAAGATAGAAAAAATCTCAATTTTCATGAAAAGGTGACGATAAAAACAACTTTAAAACATTACCATACCTTTATTGTATTTTAAAATGTTGACAAGTGAGTAACACAGATTAGAATGTCATTTTTTTCACGACCGCCTCTGACTCTAGGCGATCCCGCAAGGTGTTAAGTAATAAAACAGTCGGATTTATTATCATCGAAAAAAGTCGATTGTAAATAAGGCCGAGCGGCCACTGAGGGAGATGCTGGAGAAAGAGAGAAAGATGGCACGATAACGAATGCCTTGTTAACTTAATTGGTATAAATTTCGTTAATTTAAATGCCCGCCGAGCCGAATTCTACAAGGAAAATAAAAACCGGCTAATCTGATTAGGCTTGTTACGGTGGTGAACCGTCCTACCGCCCTCTTTTGCCCTTCCCAAATTCTATTATAGAAACGAGTCAAGGCGTTCCGTGCCTTGGGTACGATCATAATGCTCTTACTCCGAAATGTAGTTCATACTTTTCCGCTTTCTTTGTATCCAGGCACTAGTGGAGATGATAAAAACTGATAATTTGTTGAAAATACCTATATACAATAACGAAAATAGTAAATCATAAAGAAAACATAAGTTCAGTTAACACTTATTGATTACAACAGATTTCGCTGCTGATCCAGTAGATTTTCTTTCACATTTTTTCTTAAATTTCTTGTCCCTTTATGTCTATGTCTAATATTAATGCCATAGTTTCCTCTACATATGAATTTGGTTACTAAATATGACTGTGTTTTTGAATAAAGCAATTTATGAGTCAGACTTAGGAGGAAAGAAATACTATATTTTTGAAAGAAACAAAGATTCACACAATTGCTTTCTCGCTGATTTATGTACTTAATATATTTGCTAATAAAACTCTGAGAATAGCGTACGTGGCACTAGGAAGTTAGATGATTTACGTGTTCAACATATTTTAAGTCATCATCCATTTTTATACCGAAGTTCTTAGAACTATTCACAGGTATTTCACAAACTTTTAAATATTTGTTTATGTCATTTTGAAGCACTCCTTTTTGTTTTATTTGCGTATACTAGATTTTTGTCCTTAAAGGGTTCAAACAGAGATTATGACTACTACTAAACTTTTAAATTGAGGCAATAAATAAACAGGAAATCTGAGTATCGTCGGAAGAAAATTGTATGGTGCATAATAGGGGTCATAAGACAGTAATGTGGATGACAGAAGCAATTGCATATACAGAGCGATTCATAAAAGGTAGCAACATTTATAGAACAAAAAGTAAATCAAGAAACAAACATGATTAGTTCATATAAAGGTGGATGCTAAAATGCTATCTTCTCGTGATGCAGGGTGTTGAAGTTACAATTTCGAAATTGATAGTAATTAATAAAAAAATCTTCAGAATGGACTAAGGTATTGAACTAAAGTTGTCACAATCAGTATAGGCCAATACATAATTTCTTGTGACTGAGGGTATACCAGCCTTACAAATTGGGACAGTAAGGAACCTGCAGAGGCAAGTATTTTCTTCGGTAGTGTCCAAGATATTTGTTTAGCACTAAGAAGTAGTTTCAGGCACCTGGATGTACAAAGTTAAGACATGGTCCGAAATACTGCTTATATGTCTAGGATTTGCAGAACACATGTGGTACATTTATTCAGATGCGGTTAGTCTCAGTGATGCATGCTTCTTTCAGGCGGTCTTAGACCTTATCGACATCATGAAAAACCCTACCATGCTTCCACCGTATTCTAGACCTGCTAGATGGACTCGGTACTGGGACAATCCATAAAGTATGGGTTTCATGACTTTTGCCCAACCATTGAAACAGCATCTCTTCAGTCTCCTTACATTAGACAAGGGATCTCTGTTCATAATTATCTAGAGCAATCTTAAAAATTATACTTGTTGAAGCTGAGCCCTGGAAAGCTTGACTATCGTCGATCACGGCACAAAAGATCTTTAGTGAGCAAATAAGTTTGAATACGTGAAAAGAACTACATGGGTGAAAAGAACTACAAAATCGATCAATATAAGCATAATATTCAATCATTAACATAGTGCACATATTACTTGCTTAAGAAAGCAAGAATCCCTGATCTGCCGTGTACATTATTAAAACGATTTTGTGCAAAAACATTGTTTGATAACTAACTTACGAGTATTTTTCTATTTGTAGGGCATGTATATTCATTCATCCATGATTGAATGACCTTAAATTACGAGTATTACTAATTTTGTCCTGAACAGGCTGTATAAATACTCGATTTATTTTTATTCTCTGCTGTTCGATAAAATTTGTAATTTTGACTGAATTCCGGAAGATATATGCGCGTTGCAAATGATTGGGATAATTAATACAAATAGTGTTATGAAGCTTTGGCCATGCATCAATTTAAAAATATGAATAAAACTGGAATGTTGGAGCTCACTTCGTTCACAGATTTTATTATAGCAAGATCCATAAATATTTAGTACCCAGATATCGATGGGTTTGCATTACGATAAATTCTAAATAAATAAATTCTAAATGTAAATGCCGCTAACGATATACACGGTGTTATTAGCATAAATGCAGTGATTCAAAATTAACGAGCAGGATCGCATATGGGTCTGCAAATTGTAAGTTTTATGTGAACGGTCTCTACTCCGCCGTGTGCATCTTATATAATGCAGCAGCAGCAGAGACAAAACCTGAATACAAAGGGACCGCGACTGCTATAAACTT